GATTTTACCCAGGGTTGGAGGGCCTTGTTTTTTTTCTTTTTTATTATTGTGACCCGCCCAGAGCCCCCCGTTGGGGGAGATGGGCGGCATACAAGTTTGACAATAAATAAATAAATAAATAAATAAATAAATAAAGCAGTTGGGTTGGGCTGGGATGGGCTGGAATTATGACATTGTCCACCTGGACATTTAGAAGAAAAAACACGGCTTACAATTTTGTGTACTGCATAAGCCCAGCCAAAAACTCCAGCTATCCAGATTTATTTGTGTCACTAACATAAACCAACGTTAGGCATGAAACTTACGAACACATTTCTCCCTCTCCCAGACTTCTGTAAGTATATCTCCCTCACCAGAAGTAACCAGATCAGTACCTCATCACAACCCTGGACCATTTTAATGCATTTGCATGAAACCCATTGAGGAAGAAGGAGCGAGCTGCCCCCATGCCGATCTGGGTAGTTTTTACGCGGCACAGTTTAAGAACTTATGAAGAGCCCTTATAGTTTGTTTGTTTGTTTGTAGCACTTATAATCCACCTCAGTCCAAAAGGACGCTGGGCAGAGTGCAACATTAGAACAAATAATACAAAAATTAATAACGAAAACTGAATCAAAACCCAAGATAAACACTGGTAATCAGTTAGATGAGGTCAAAGGCTGAAATAAAACAAATTTAACTTGTAGAAGAGAATATGTGTAGCTCAGGGTTGAACTGTGGAGTCCTTGGGGTTCTCTGACCTTGGTTGTTTTCTTCCAAACATTTTGTTACCCAGCTAGGTAACAAAATGTTTGCAAGAAAACAAGCAAGCTCAGAGAACTCCAAGGACTCCACAAATTTAACTTGTTTATAGAATTGGAGTAAGGTTAGGTCTGCACAAACTCCTGCAGGGAGGGTATTCCATCAAATAGGGAGTTATTCCAGAAAACGGTGTGCCATCTTGTCCACACCCCATGTACTCCATGAAGAGGGGGAAATTTGAGCAGGCCATCTTTAGATGACTGGACCAGACGGGCACTTTGAATTCTGGCAAGCATTGCCAGATGTATCCTAGTGCTGTACTGTTTAGGGCAATTTTCTCAAACTTGGCAACTTTAAGATGTGTGGACTTCAACTCCCAGAATTCCCTAGCCAGTGTGGCTGGCTGAAGAATTCTGGGAATTGAAGTCCACACATTTTAAAGTTGCCAAGTTTGAGAAACACTGCTTTAGGGCTCTGAAGGTAATGTCCAATACTTTAAACTGGATATGGAAACCTTCTGGCAGCCAAAGGAGTGACTTTAATAAAGGTACAATTATACATTGGTGGGGTTGTCCTACAAATAATTTTGCTGCTGCAAGATGACCCAGCTTCTGGGTCACCTCCAAAGTGTGTTCCAGTAGTCCAATTGTGTGGCAATCAGTTTCAGCCATCCATTTCAGCCAACATCCTGAGGGAGAAAATGACTTCTCAGAGTTTTCCAGGACCCAAGAAAAATCAGTAGGAAACCATCTTTCTCCATTGCTTTTCTTCACTGAACCTGGGGGATGTTGGGACTTGATTATTTATTTATTAAACATGTTTCTACCCCACTGCAATGAAAAAGATTCTTGGCAGCTAACATAAACTTGATTAGACAATCTAGTGAAGTGGAGAATTCAAACTCTAGGCACAGCCAGATGGTGGCATTAAAGTCCACCAATTGCTGGTAGAATGTCACTGCTCCGATTGCTGATCCCTACTCTGTCTCAATTACAAGATTAGAGAAAGCTGGTCTCCTTACTGTTTTAAAGCAGGACAATGACTGATGGATTCCCCTGCCTTCATTTCCCTCCCACCAAGAGTCATCTGGCAGCAGGAAAGGCAGCTACCTTAATGGTGCTCCTTAATGGATGTCAGGGTTTGGCCAGCAAAAGTGCTCACAACTTGACATGTCCATGTAACACCTTTGCTGTACAAGCTGTGTTAGTTACTAGTAAACCTCTGAGAGCAATTTAAGGTGCAGGTTGTGATTATGAAGCCCCTCATGAGATAGGCCTAGTTATTTGAGGGACCACATTTATCTTATTGTTTTTGCCTGGCACAGAGGGCATCCTCCAGGCTCCATCTTTAAAACAGTGTCATCTGATGGGATCCAAATGACGTGCCTTCTCTGTTGCAGTACCTGCCTTCTGGAAGAGCATTTCCCATGGATTTCAGTTGCCCCACCCTTGCTGTCCTATAAATAGGCTTTGAAGGCCTGGCTGTTTTCTCAGGTGCTGGGTTAGGGGGTATGTGTCTTTGTGGGAATTTATCAGTATGTCAGGTGTTTTAGTCCCTAGCTACTGCCTTCTTTAAAATTGGGGGTTTTTTTAACCTGGATCCCACCCAGAAGTATCTATGAACATCAACAGGCAGTCTAAAGAATCTTCATTTTGTCTTCTGACTGCCCATTGTTGTTCATGGATGCTTAAGATGAAGAGGATAATTCTCTCAACATGTAGTCAATTTCACCTGGGAAATTGCTGACAATTTACATCAAGCCACAACCAAAAATTCTAGGGAACTCCAGTTTATCATTATTTTAATTTTATTATAGCTGCCCACTCCCATAGACTCTGGGTGGCTTACAAATACAAATACAAAACACTAAAAAACATTAAAAACATACAACTCCATAGGCAGCCTGGACTGAAACAATCAAATAATCCAGACAACCACCAGATGACACCAAAGAGACAAGGATTTCTGCACCTCTTTGCTGCCATCTACTGGCCAATTCCATATGGGAGGCCTAGACACAGAAGCACTCTATTGCGTATGCTCAAAATGAGTATTTGCAGTACAAAGAAGGGCAGACTTTTGAAGAGACAATAAAATGCTAGTTTCATGCACAGTTTAAAAATAACAATAAAAGGACCTGTACGTGCAGATTTAGCAGCAGACAGACCAATGTACAGAATTTGTTTAACTGCTAAAAATAAGATCCAGTCCTAAAGAGTGAAAATGAATACACAGAACAGGTAGCTAAAATGGAAGTGGTTGCAAATAGCAGTAGGACATCAAGAAAACTATTCCATCTGCCCGTGAGGCTGGCACATGCATGAATAAGCTAGCCAATCCCAGAATAAAGAGCAAGACATGCCAAGGCACAGAACTGTGAAAAACAGAGACACTGGAACCCAAGCAAATCATGCAATACACAAATTATTTAAAGAGTTCTGGGCAGCACCTACCTTTATGAAATCAACTCGGTGACTTGTTGCCCTGGAGGAGAATTCAGAAATTAGCTGTCTTAGAATACTTAAGGAACAAGCACTGGAGGATGCTATAGCTGCCCACTTAACTGCTTCCAGAAGCATCTAGTTAACCCTAACGATCGTCAGGATTCTCGTCTAGGTGGGTATTTGGTTCTGATCTGGCAACCAAGCTCTTCAGATGTTCTTTGACAACCTTCCTCTAACTGGGTGCCCTCCAGATGTCTTGGCTTCCATAATGTAGCCCAGTGTTTCTCAACCTTGGCAAGTTTAAGACGTGTGGACTTCAACTCCCAGAATTCTGCTGGCTGGGAAATTCTGGGATTGAAGTCCACACATCTTAAACTTGCCAAGGTTGAGAAATACTGATGTAGCCATTATGGCCATGCTGCCTAATGAATATGGGAATGAAAAATTAATACAACTGGAGGGCATCAGATTGGGCAAGCTGTGCTGATGTCCTCAGAATAACCGTTGGTTTTATTTTAAAGTTCTTATTTCATGAATGATTCTAGAGGGAGAAAAGGAGAAAAGGAGCTATTTTGTTCCATTTAATGTAAGTGTTTGAATTGGAAAACCTTGCACCGATGATGTTCCCTAACCTGGTTTAAAAAAAAAGCCCGCAAGAAGAAAATCAGGCTCTAACATCAAGCCAAGAACAAAAAGTATCCAACTAGGTTACAGTCAAATTTTATCCCAGCAATATATACAGTATGTCAATATGAAAAGATATAATTAGACTTTACTCTGTGATCTACACTTTCTTCTCCCTGTGTTGATAGAACAAACAAATAGCATAACTTGCAGCGCTAAAGCCATCATATTCCCTCTCTCTGACTAGGTATATAAATGTATGAATATACACACAGATAAGATTCCCGTGCCCAACCTTTTCCTTAGTTCAAACCGCTACTTCATCATCAAAAGTTTTTCTGAGGACCACAACAAAAATAGAAATCACCCTGGAATATATATCACTGACACGGCATTTGTGGCTCTCCATTCAAAAAGTGGAATGATGAAATTCTATGGGATCACCAAGCATCATAAGAACTTTGTGTTCCGGACTTCTGAAGAGGATTTATGGTGAACTAGACATCTCCAAAGGAGATGGATATATTGAAGGATATTTTTGAGTGATGGACTCGGAACTTAATTTTAATAGTGTCTGCCTGTATAGTGTTTAAAATGTGTTTTTGGAAGAGGAACAAGTTTTATTGGACAAGACTGAGATTGATCTGAAAGTGGATTTAAAAATGAGAAGCTATAAGAATGATATAGAAAAAGATGCTACACTGGATATACAAATGAAACTGGCTGATGTCTTAATAATTAAAAGGGATATACAAATATATGGAAAAAGATGCTACACTGGATATACAAATGAAACTGGCTGATGTCTTAATAATTAAAAGGGATATACAAATGGTAAATCAAAAGAGGAACTTGGATAACTTTCCTGTATTGGATTTACAAAGTTAAACTTGTTAAAGTTCTGAAGGATTTTGTGACAAGGGGCCAAGAAAAAAATGAAAAGAAAACAAGTTCTAGGACATTTGTTGAAGGGATTAAAGATCAAGATTGTCAAAAGTAAAAGGAAGGAATATAGAGTGAGCTTATTTGATATAGTTGACGATACCACCCTAATGGCAGAAAGTGAAGAAGAACTAAAGAGCCTCTTGATGAGGGTGAAAGAGGAGAGTGCAAAAGCTGGCTTGAAACTCAACATTAAAAAAACTAAGATCATGGCATCTGGACCCATCAATTCCTGGCAAATAGAAGGGGTAGAAATGGAAGCAGTAACAGACTTCATTTATTTGGGCTCCAAGATCACCGCAGACGGAGACTGCAGCCATGAAATTAAAAGACGCTTGCTCCTTGGGAGGAAAGCTATGCCGAGCGCCGAAGAATTGATGCCTTTGAACTGTGGTGCTGGAGAAGACTCTTGAGAGTCCCCTGGACTGCTAGGAGGTCAAACCAGTCAATCTTAAAGGAAATCAACCCTGATTGCTCATTGGAAGGATCGATAATGAAGCTCAAGCTCAGATATTTTGGCCACCTAATGCGAAGAGAGATCTCTTTGGAGAAGACCCTGATGCTGGGAAAGATTGAAGGCAAAAGGAGAAGAGGACGGCAGAGGATGAGATGGTTAGATAGCATCACTGAAGCAATGAGCATGAAACTGAGCAAACTCAGGGAGGCAGTGAAGGACAGGAAGGCCTGGCGCAATATGGTTCATGGGGTCACGAAGAGTCGGACACGACTTAACGACTAAACAACAACATGACAAAGGGGGAAGTTACTTCTTTATATATTCCTTTTCTTTCTTTTTGCTATATCCTTACTTTTTCTTTCTTTTCTATTGTTCTCTTTCTATTATTTTTTTCTCTGCACTTTCTATTTTTTATTTTTATTCTTTTATCTTTTGTAATTTGTATTAGTTTATTTCTGTATAATTGTAATCTTTAATAAAATTATTATTAAAAAAAACTTTGTGTTGCCATATTCAGTCTTGTAAGTTTTGGGGAACAAACACTAAAAGTCTTTCAAGATTTCAAATATGAAGACTTCCAAGGAAGAAATGGTGAACTGAAGATGGCTCCACTGAGAGCGGAGCAGATGACCGCAGCAGAATGAAGAGCTGATGAAGGGACCAGCACTTTGGGATTCCTCTCCAGACAAGAACTGGGATCACCCATAAGTGCATCAGATAGTTGCACCTCACAAGGAGACTGTAAAACAGTGATCTCCAGTGAGTTTAGAGCTCTGGGAGATGAGGGAATGCCATCTCAGCCCAAACCGCAGTTGGTGCCTTTATGGACACAGAGTTCATATACTTCCTTTTCTAATCACCTTTGGAAATTGTTTATTAATTGCTTTTCAGCTATTAGGAACCTTTGGAACGACAAGGTTTTTTACAGCACCAGGTGAGTCTCCTTCAATCCTTCACAAAAGAAATTTGAATTACAGGTTTAAGGACTTAAAAAAATGTAGGGGGGGGGCGGGAATAAATAGCAAAATGGTGATTAGAACATTGATTTTGGAAAGTTACAAACAGATTAGGGATCCAGATAGATTTGAGATAAGATTTTGAAATTAATTATAAGAATCCTTCCCATGGGAAAATGCTGTTGTTTTGAATTCTTAAAATAAAAACATGATAGGATAGGATTTTGAAGGCTGGATACTAGAAGGAACCAGAAGGAACTAAAGATTACAATTAAAGAAGAACACCACTTAAATTTGATTTACTAATACAGAACAGAGTAAAATACTTTAACATTGGATGTATTGAGGGATGTTTGTGAACAATGGACCCAGAACATAATTTTAAGAGTGTCTGCCATTATAGACAGACTGTGTTTAAAAGATGTTATGGAAGAGGAACAAGTTTTACCAGGCAAGACTGAGAATTATTTGAATGTGGATTTAATAATGACAAGCTACAAGACTGATATGGAAAAAGATGATATACTGGATATACAAATTAAACCAGCTAATGTCTTAATAATTAAAATTGATATACAAATAACAAACCAAAAAGTGTCCTAGATAACTTTCCTATATTGAATTTACAAAAGAGGCTTGTTAAAGCTTTGAAGAATGTTGTGAGAAGCGACAAAGAAAAAATGAAAAGAAATCAAGTTCTAGGACATTATTTGAAGATCAAGATTGTTAAAAGCAAAAGGAAGGAATATAAATCATTTGTTGTATTTTAAGAGAAGGTGATAAATTACTAAAATTGTTTATATTTGTTGTGATAAGCGGAGAAGTCATTTCTTCATATATTTCTTTTTTCTATTTTTTCTTTCTTTTCTTTTTTCTATTTTTTCTGCACTATTTTTCCTTTTATTCTTTTTTTAGTTTATATTAGTTTTTATCTTAATTGTAATATATAATAAAATTAATATTTTTAAAAAGATTTCAAATATGAACAAAATCAAGTAACACTAAAGCACATCATAAATAAAACACAGTAATGAAACAATTGAAAGAAACCATTAAAAAAACTAAAAAGATGGCAGACAATCACCAAAAAGAACTAAATCTGCCACACAAGTTCAGGCTCATGCTATCTGCAAAATGAGCAGGTGTTATGAGAACCTTTGTTGAGACAAACAAGGTTTTGTTTGCCAACATAATGAAAACCTCTGCAAGATGAAGGATGACTAACCATCTCTTTCCTCTTCCTTTCCTTTTAAAATGTCAGTCATGTTAAAGTCCCAGACCTGGCTCCTGTTTACGCAGAAACAGGCCTCTGGGTGTATATGTCTTGCTGGATGAGAAACCGGATGCATTTCCCAGATTGTACCCAGGTTGTGCAAGTGTTCTTGTAAAGGAAACTGGAACAATGCTTTTTAAATGTTCCAGAGTGGGAAGGGTTTTGTTCTCCCTCCAGACAAATAAAAGCCTAGATGAACGTAATTCCAGCTTCTTCTGACTGACTATGAATGCCAGATCCTGGCTGTAGCTGTTCCCAGGGTTATAATTATTAGCCTTGTAGAAAAGCTGAGGTTTCACAAGAGTTTTGCCTCTGAAGTCACTCCTCAACTCCTCCAAAGCTTTTCTTGCTTAGCCCTTGTGACAGTGAAAAGGCTGAGAGAAAATAAAGAGTGTGCATAACATGATATGGAATCTGGGAGATTCTGGGGTGATAGGACTGGAGCTTCCTATCTGTTGGGTTAACCAGGCCTTAAACTTGCCCTACATCATTCTAGCCATATCCTGCTTTTGGACTCGAGTTCCACCAGATTCTGAAATTCTTCGTACTCTGTATGTTTCGACAGAGTGGTGTTTGAGTTTTTGCTATTAATTATGATGATGCTGATATGAGAACCCCAACTATTCTGAGCCAATGAGCAGATCGGCAATTCTGACATCATGTTACAGACACTCTCCCAAAATGGTGGTCACAATGGTGACTCACAGAATATCCCCTACCAGCAGACAAACTGATAAGGTAGCTGCCCGTTACCTTCTCATCTCAGCTACCTCTGCCTCTTCACTAAGCAGAGAAACCCACTTCTAAACAGAGCACTGGGCTGTAGCCCTCAATTACATTAACTTTCCAAGAACACCTCTGGAACTCTCTACGTATCCCAGAAGCTTTCTTGGAAGAAAGATTATATCTGAGACCACCCTCTGCAGAATGCTGGCTTTCCATCAGTCTATTTCAGGGATCTTGATCTGTTGGTTAGGATCTTCCAGAGGTCTCACAAACAACTTGGAGTCATAATTTTTTTTCAACGTGATTGCGAGCTAACTATCCAAATTCACTCTGGGTTTTAGTCTTAGTTTTGCCTGTGCAAGCTGCAATGGACAGTTGCCATACCACAAAGTTTAAGAAACCCTACAATACGATCTCAAGTCCTCTCCTTGCCCAGAAAAGAATTACGAAGAGCTTTTGAAGATCAAGATTGTTAAAAGTAAAAGGAAGGAATATAAATTATTTGTTGTATTTTAAGAGGAGGTGATAAGTTACTAAAACTTATTTTATGTTTATACTT